AATCATAAAAATAAGGATAACCTCTGACTCAGATTCTACTTAGAGGGATCTGTCCTAAGGAAACAATGTGAAGACAAAGACTTCAGGCTACAGATGTTTAAGGAAGTGTTGTTTGTAACTGAAACCATCCCAACAGGGCAGTGATTGATGGGCTGCATGATACAGACAAACCTAGTTTAAAATGTTGGCGTCTTTGCTTACGAACTTACTAGCTGTGCAATCTGGATCAAGTAACAACTTCTTTGTTGATTCACGTAGACATGAAAATGGTGCTAGTCCGTTCTCACAGTGCTGTAAAGAACGACCTAAGATTGGGTAATTTATAAAGAAAAGAAGTTTAATTGACTCTCAGTTCCTCAGGCTGTACAGGAGGTATGACTGGGGAGGCATGAGGAGACTCACAAGCATGTTGGAAGGGAAAGGTGAAGCAAACATATCTTCACATGGCAGTGGGAGAAAGAGTGAAGAGGGAAGTGCTACACACTTTAAATAACTGGATCTCATGAAAACTCACTCACTGTCACGAGATGAAGGGGGAAAACCACCCCCATGATCCAATTACCTCCCACTAGGTCCCTCCCCCAACATTGGGAATTACAATTCAATGTGAGATTTGAGTGGGGACACAGAGCCAAATCCTCTCTCTGTATTTCTCTAGAGCCAAATCCTCTCTCTGTATTTCTCTTTCTCACACACACACACACACACACACACACACACTCACACACACACACATTGGGAATTGTAATTACTTACCCCCACTGACTTGCAATACTTATTGAGTGAGATAATCCATGTAGAACATCTAGAACAGTGTTAAGCGCATCGTAGATACTTACTAAAAGGTAGCTATTATTAAGGATAAGGTTCATGCATGTGATAGAATCTATTCTATGATGCAAGAGCCTTTTAAGTGGCATGGAAATGCTTATTTATAAAGCAGATTGATAACAGGCATTCAAAACTCTTGAGTATGATCTCAGCTATGGATTCATACAGAGAGTAAAAGAAAGACTAAGAAAGAGAGAATGTACTAAAATACTTACACTATGAAGTGAGACTGGCTGGCATTGACATTTTCTTCATTCTTTTATCTAAAAAGAGTCACACAGAACTACTGAAGCCCTAGCCTTTCTTCTGTGGATCCTGAGAATTCTTCTTGCTTTGGATAGAGGTTCCTTTGCTCAGAATCCTAAGAAGGAATTTTACTGATGATAGAACTGTGTCTAAATCTCAGTGGTGAGACATAGATAGATAGACAGACAGACAGAGACAGACAGATAGATAGATAGATAGATAGATAGATAGATAGATAGATAGATAGTGGTATTGCTGAGGCTAACTTTTGAAAAGTGAAATGCTCTGTAGGGAAGAGTGCCATTGATTGGGTTGCATAGAAGCAGACTGAACCAGGGCAGAGATTCCTGTATAAATGATTTATTGAGAGACTGTTCTTGGGAGAAAGTTGTAAGAGTGAAAGATGCTAAGATAAAGATACAGGGAAGAAGTTCACAAGGATGTGGTTTCTTCTGGACTCACCTGAGCACACAGGGAGCTAAGGAGTGTTCATTGCTCCACAGAATCTGACCCTCACCCTCACCCCAATGCCAGGCTGTAGACTGGCATACACATACATGCCAGTCTGCAGCCTGCCCTGGGGAGATGGGCATAACTCCTAGGTACCTCTGTGGTTAGGCAGCTCCAGTTGCTCAAGAGCATCCCTAAGAGAAGGTTACAGGTATGAGCCCTTAGCAGAAGCAGTGAGGTGGGCACGCTGACCTAGTAAAGGGATCCCAGGGGATCTAAATATGTCCCCAGCACCATCTGCCTTCAGAGGGTTAAAGGAAATTAACCTCCCTTTATTCCCCAACCCCCACCCCTTAAGAGGAGCTAGGAGAGTAACATGAGGCCATTTAGTAGCTCAGATGCCTGGCTTAGGTGGGAGATATGAGAGAAAAGAAGGCCTTCTCTCTCTCTTTTTTTTTTATTACTCAAAGTTTCATTTTTTATTTAGCTTTCTGACTCTGTGTTTGCACCTTCAACACTTTCACAACGATTTTCTGCTCCTCGATAAGGAAAGCATGCTTGATCCTGTCATGAACACATTTAGCACACATGGAACCACCATAGGCCCTACTGACATGTTTCTTTGTTTTGGACAAACTCATAAGAACTTTAGGTCGTACAGCACGAACTCCTCGAAGCCTGCCTGGGCACACAACACATGCTGATTTTGGTGCTTTCCCAACCTTCTTAGTATAAAGGTAAACAATTCTATTACCAGGGGTCCGGAACAGCCTAGTTTTGTTATAGGCGGTATTGTAGGACAGTCTACGTCGGTATGTCAAACGCTGGACCATTCTGAGTGCCTGCACACAACGTCCCCAGAAGAGCAAGAAGGCCTTCTCTTTTAGCAAAATTGAAGGCAGCAGGGGGTAGGTGGGAGCAGGGTTTTGTTTAAAAGTTCCCTTCTCTGTCCATCATGCCCAAAGGCTGAGGAAGTGAAAAGGAGGAAAGTGTGGAAGCAGCAGACAGAGGAGTCAGCCAGTGCAGTTGGTTACATTGAGCAAACAAGTAAATTGAGCAAAGACGGAACTGTATTGAGGATACTGAGACCAGATTTCCCATTGTTGGAGAAGGGAATTGCAACACAGAAGTAAAGAAGGTTAGAAAGACCCCTAAGATAACTAACTGAAATTAAAAGTATAAGTATGAACTCGTTGTTTTTAAATAAATATACACAGATAGATATAGATATGGTGAGTGTGTGAAGAGAGAGGAAGAGAAGTAAGACAGAAATAGATGATTGTTAGATAGATAGATAGATAGATAGATAGATAGATAGATAGATAGACAGACAGATAATTTCTTAGCTGTGCCGACTGAGAGGGCCCAGCAGAAGTGACACCCCAAAAGCAATGATCACACTGAGCACAGAGATTTTGGTTTCTAAATACCATCTTCTGCCAAAGGGAACCAGGGCTTCCCGGAAAGGTGATGACAGACTCCAGGGCTGGGGCAAGGGAAGATGAGCTGGACATCTTGTGCTAGAAAATAGGGATGACCTTGAGGAATCATGGAGACATGCCAAAAAAACAATAGGAATCAGCTTGAAGGGGCTCCCACTGGCCAGATCTGGGACAGTCTGCCCATCAAAATAATAACAGGTTGCAGCCTGGGCATGGTGGCTCATGCCTGTAATTCCAGCACTTTGGGAGGCTGAGGCAGGCAAATCACTTGAGGTCAGGAGTTTGAGACCAGCCTGGACAATGTGGTGAAACCTCATCTCTACCAAAATTAAAAATTAAAAAATTAGCCAGGCATGGTGGCAGGCACCTGTCATCTCAGTTACTCAGGAGGCTGAGGTGGGAGAATTGCTTGAACCGAGGAGGTGGAGGTTTCAGTGAGCCAAGATTGTGCCACTGCACTCCAGCCTGGGTGACAGAGTAAAATCCTGTCTCAAAATAGTAATACTAACAATAATGATAATAATAATAACAGGTTGCAACTCATGAAATAAAATTGGAATCTGCTGGTCCTTACTGATTAGATGGCTAGATAAGACAGATAAAGGAGAGGAGGAAAGCTCTTCTGAGCATCAAAATAATAGCAAGCTACAACCCACTGTATAAACAGGACTCCATAAGTCCATACTGATTGAATGGATAGACAGATAAGATGAAAAGAAGAAGGAAAAGTTATTTCTTACAGTAGAATGTCAACTAATAAATGTAGAAGGAATGACAGAAATAAAAAATGCCATTTGTGGGGCTGGGTGCAGTGGCTCATGCCTGTAATCCTGCTGCTTTGGAAAGTCAAGGCAGGAGGACTGCTTGAGCCCAGGAGTTTGAGACCAGCCTGAACAACATAATGAGACCTCATCTCTAAAATAATTTAAAAAAAAATTATCTGGGCATGGTGCTGTGTGCCTGTAGTCCCAGTGCTATAGTCTTGGAGACTGAGGTAAGGATGGATTGAGCCGGGAAGGTTGGTTGAGGCTGCAGTGAGCCACGATGGCACCACAGCACTAAAGCCTGGGGATAGGGTGAGACCCTGTCTCAAAAACCAGATAAAAACAACCACGGGTTACCGTTGCAGTGGAAGATGATGTAAATAGAGATAGTCCATGGCTAAAGCTGGTAGGTGGAGGTTCTATGGGGAGGATATTGGCATAACTATTAATATTTCCTGACAACGGAGAAATATTCTTCATCACGAATGTAAAGTTATAACTTAGGGTGGAGGAATCTGTCAGACCAGATTACCAAGCTGGTCATCTCCATCACCAGCTTGATCAGGTGATGAAGATTAATGTCACTGGTGACAGGTTGACACTGTGTGCCCTGGTGTGCTGAGAAGAGCTCAGGTCGAGGTGTTCCTGCCAAGAAGACATTTTCCCGTGGACTTACTGGGTTATGGGTAGGGCTCAATGGCAGCAGTTATGAAATTCGAGAATTACTTGGGGAGTTAAAAATGCAGGTGAGGCTGGTTACGGTGCCTCACATCTGTACTCCCAGTGCTTTTTGAGGCTGAGGTGGGAGGAGTGCTTGAGGCCAGGAGTTCGAGACCAGCCTGGGTAACATACATCTCTACGAATGATAACAATAATTAGCCAGGAGTGGTGGTGCATATCTGTAGTCTTAGCTACTCTGGAGGCTGAGGCAGGAGGATCACTTGAGCCCAGGAGTTCAAGGTTGTGCGGTGACCTATGATTGCACTTCAGCCTGGATGACAGAGTGAGACACAGACTCTAAATAAATAAATACAATAAAATAAAAATGTAGATGCCAGGGCCTCATCCCTGGGGGTCTGTTTCTGGGTCTAGGGAGGGAGGGAGCTAGAGATCTATATATTTAACCATCATCATCCCAGGAAATTCTGACGTAAGTGGTCCACTGACCACTCTTGGTGGAATGTTGGCAGGAAATTCAGAAAAACCGTAGCCATTTTCCCACCCAGTTCCGATCTTAACTCCCTTTCTGTCTCTTTTACATTCCCAGGGTAACGCTCTATGCCGAGTTCCTTCCCATGAAAGCCAGAGCTAAATGTATTTTGCTGATTGAGGTAAGGAGAGTGGCCTGGGTCTCCAGAGAGTGTGGACTCTGGCAGGGGATTCTCAGATGTCTTTGGCCACAGGTCAAGGAAAAGGGGGTTTAAGAAAAAAAATATTATAGACTCAATATGCAAAAATGTAAAGGGATCAGTTTCATCAATTCTCACATGCCCATTTTACAAGATGGATAAATTCTTCAATTTACAAGAACATTCAAGCTATCATCCCTCAAAAAAAAAAAAAAAAATGGCAGCAAGAGTATGGAAGAGTTGGTGTTGAATAGTGTGGCATGAGTAGACCAGACTCCTGCCCCCACATCCACATCATCACCCTCCTCCTGTGTTTCTGGTCCATGGACATTCTTGACCATTTCTGTGGCCTACAGACTGCCTTAGAACTCTCAAGGTCCAACTAGTCCTCTCAAGTTTTTCTTCCAGGGTCTCGTGACCCATTTCCAACCTTCCAACCATGATCTGAAAGATCTCAGAGCAAATACAATGTCCATGGCCCCCCACCTCATGCAGCTGCCTGACGGCCCCCTCCACACAGTGGCAGAATGGTTTATTTGCCCCAGCTGGACATTGATCCCAACAGTGATGACTGTGAACCCACTCTGGTGTCCCCAGTCACTGTAAGCACACTGACAATATTAATCACATTGCTCCCACAGCCCAACATCCTGACAACATCTGCTCCTTACCAATTAGGGTGATGCTTCAGTGATCCCCACTCATGTGGATGAATCAGTTGTTTAAATACTGAAATGCATCTGGGACTTTGGGAGGCCAAGATAGGAGGATCATTTGAGGTCAGGAGTTTGGGGCTGCAGTGAGCTGTGATCACACCATTGCACTCCAGCCTGAGTGGCAGAGCAAGACCCTATCTATTAAAAAACAACACCACCAACAAAAAGAAGGCTAGGTGGCTCATGCCTGTAATTTCAGCACTTTGGGAGGTCGAGGCGGGTGGACCACCTGAGGTCAGGAGTTCACGATCAGCCTGGCCAACCTGGTGATGAAACCCCACCTCTACTAAAAAGATGCAAAAAATTAGCCAGGTATGGTGGCGAGCACCTGTAATCCCAGCTACTTGGGAAGCTGAGGCAGGAGAATTGCTTGAACCCGGGAGGTGGAGATTGCAGTGAGCCGAGATCACAGCATTGCACGCCAGACTAGGTGAGAGAGTGAGACTCTGTCTCAAGAAAAAAAAAAAGTGGGCAAGGGGAATATATCTGGACCAGCTGATCTTGAACTCTGGCTGCCCTTCATTGCCTGACACTCTGTCCCCTCTTGGGACCCTCCAGAGCTTCCCATGATTCAGCAACTAAAGAGTTAAATCCTAGCACGGTGCAGATGGTGTGGGCATGTGTAATTGGTGCCCATTCTGACTGGTCAGTGCATTATTTGTTAGACATTCTTCTCTCGGCCCTGGTTGTCAGCAACCGAAACGGACTGTGGTTTATTTAAGCAAAAACGGACTTAGGAAGGTTTTTAGGAACTCCAAAACGAATGAGGAGACTGGAGGGCCAGACTTTGGAATGGACAGTAATTGTAGAGTCAGGGTCCCAACAGGAAACAGCTACTGAAATTAGGATCATTGCAGATGGTTTAATAAAGACGCTGTTGGCCCAGCGTGGTGGCTCACACCTGTAATCCCAGCACTTTGGGAGGCCAAGGTGGGCAGATTGCTTGAGGTCAGGAGTTTGAGAGCAGCCTGGCCAACATGGCAAAACCCCCATCTCTACAAAAACTTAACCAGGCATGGTGGCACACACCATCTCAGCTACTCGGGAGGCTGAAGCACGAGAATTGCCTAAGCCTGGGAGGCAGAGGTCGCAGTGAGCTGAGACTACACCACTGAACTCCAGCCTGGGCAACAGAGCAAGACTCCATCTCAAAACAACAATAACAACAAATAAATAAATCAAGGGACTATTTATAAAATCCCCGCAAGAGTGTTACCACTTCAGGCCAGAAGGAGCAAAGAGAGGGATTGATGAGCTGCCCAGAGAGTTGTATGATGAAGGCTACGGGACAGGAGCTAGGACTTGCAGCTGAGGGATACAACCAGCCAGGACCACTCTGCAGGGAGGCAGCCAGGGGAATAAGTGCTTCAGTGTTTTTCTCCTCCCTCACTCCCTCCCATGTCTTGCAGGACTCCACACTGGCTGCACCCAATGGGAAGTGCTAGGACAGGGAGCCTGTTGATGGAATTCACCCCAAAGTGGAAAAAGATGGAGAGTGACTTGGGCAGGCACATAGAAGGGGCAATTCTGATTAGGAATTCTGGGCACCATTGGGCAAGGGAGATGATGTCAGTGAGCAAAGTCAGTGTGTCCGTTTCGTACAGCCGTGTTCACAGCCGCATTATTTACAACAGCTAAGACATGGAAGCGGCCGGGCACGGTGGCTCACGCCTGTAATCCCAGCACTTTGGGAGGCCGAGGTGGGCAGATCACCGGAGGTCAGGAATTTGAGACCAGCCTGGCCAACATGGTGAAACCCCATCTCTTAAAAAAAAAAAAAAAAAAGGACGTGGAAGCAACCCAAGTCTCCATCAACACACTCGTGGGCAAACAAGCTGTGGTCTGTACATTCATTGGAATATTATTCAGCCTCAAAAAGGAAGGACATTGTGACATATGCTACATCGCAGATGAATCTTGAGGACATTATGCTCAGGGAAATAAGCCATTCACAAAAAAAATAATACTTTACAATTCCACTTATATGAGGTACCTAGAGTAATCAAATTCGTAGAGACAAAAAGTAGAATCGTGGTTGCCAAGGGCTGGGGATAGAGGGGGCGGAGAGTTATTGTTTAATGTGTACAGACTTTCTGACCAGGCACGGTGGCTCACCCCTGTAATCCCAGCAATTTGGGAGGCCAAGACGGGTAGATCACCTGAGGTCAGGAGTTTGGAACCAGTCTGGCCAACAAGGTAAAACCCTGTCTCTACTAAAAATACAAAAATCAGCTGAATGTGACTGGGGGCATCTGTTAATTCCAACTACTCGGGAGGCTGAGGCAGGAGAATCGCTTGAATCTGTGAGGCAGAGGTTGCAGTGAGCTGAGATCATGCCACTGCACTTCGGCCTGGGCAACAGAGCAAGACTCTGTCTCAAAAATAATAATAATAATAAGTACACACTTTCATGTTTGCAAGATGAGTTCTGGTGAAGGGGAGTGGTGATGTTTGCACAATATTATGAATGTATTTAATACCACTGAACAGTACACTTAAAAATAGTTAAGATGGTAAATTTTGTTATGTGTATTTTACCATAATAAAAAATTTGAGGCCAGGTGCAGTGGCTCATGCCTGTAATCCCGCACTTGGGGAGGCCCAGGAGGGCAAATCACTGGAGCCCAGGAGTTCAAGACCGGCCTGGGAAGCATAGTGAAACCCCACCTCTACTAAAGATACAAAAAAATAGCCTGGCATGGTGGCATGTGCCTGTAGTTCCAGCCACTCAGGAGGCTGAGGTAGGAGGATTACTTGAGCCTGGGAGGTTGAGACTGCGGTGAGCCATGATTTGAAAACTGTATTTCAGCCTGCGTGACAGAGCAAGACCCTGTTAAAAATAAAATAAAATAAAAGACCCAATATGTTGGCTACCAATTTGACATCGCATAATATTGACCATATTGATCCCCTTAACCAGAGCTGCCACATTGCCCCACTCCAGTGGATGCCATACAAATATACAGTGGAGATGGCACCCTTGTGAGCTTGGCAACATGGCAGCCCTGGCCCTACCCTATAGATCACGGGGAAAGGGTGGCTCTTCTAACCTTGCTGACTCCAGTAACCCCTTACCCATAGAAAGACCCTGGCCCCCAGTGCCCCATAATTCCTCACTGTGTGGACCATGCTACCCCCGTCGCTGACCCCGATTCTCCTGTGCCAGGTATTCTGGGCCATCGGGACAGTGTTCGAGGTCGCCCTGGCTGTGTTCGTGATGCCCAGCCTGGGCTGGCGCTGGCTGCTCATCCTCTCAGCTGTCCCGCTCCTCCTCTTTGCCGTGCTGTGTTTCGTAGGTATCCTTTAAGAGATCTCAGCTTTTGCTACCTGACACCTTACTGTCCACTCTATTTTTGTGGGGAGGGGATGGAGAGGGATACCAAAGCCACCTTTTAAGATTATTATTATTTTTTCGTCAGGAAATGAGACAAGAGAGCTATGGCCTGGGATAGCCCCAGTATGGAGTGTTAGATTTCCTCCAGACAGACACTTCTGAGACATTTTCTAGGGAGATAACTGGGGATGGGAGGATACATTGGCCCCATCGTTGCAAAATCTGCACTTAAAGTGATTATATTGCCCTAGGTGAGACTCTTAAGTTGCAAGTGACAGGAATCCCATTCCAACTGGCTTGAGTAAAAGAGAGGGATAAATACATTTCAGAGGATTCAAGCTAACTTCAGGAATGGCTGGCTCCAGGAGTTCAGTGATCTCTTCATCTCAGCTCTGCAGAAACCACACCCTCTACTGAGGTCTTGCCACATACTCATCATTTCATGGGCACTTGGATGAAACACTTTATAGCCAGTAGGCACTAAAATAAGCCTAGAGATGGCTAGTTATCATGTATGATAAATACCACAAAAATTCCTGGTAATGACAATAAGTGTTAATAATTATTAAGCTTAACTGTGTGGTATGCATTATCATATTTATTCCTCCCACTAATCACAGGACTATAATGAACCCCTATATGAGTCAGGATGATAAAAGCTGCTGAAACAAATAAAGCCCACACGTTTAGCAACATATAGCATGAGAGGAGCTTATCTCTCACTCACACAATAGTTCAGAAGGACTTTTCTGGTTGGCAAGCGGAATTTTGGGCCCTGGTTTTGTCCAGCTGGTGGCTCTGCCATCCTCTAGGGCTTTGAAGTCTTCTACAGTCAGACAACAGACTTGCAAAAGGCAAGTGGTGACTGCACATTCACTTCTTAAATGCCTTGGCCAGGAATAGTGTGCTCATACGCCATTGGTAAACACAAGTCACATGTTCTCACCTAGATGCAAGGGGAGCTGGGAAATGTAGTCCCTGTCTGGGCAGCCACATCTGAAGACAACTTTGCACTATGTAAAAGGAAATGGCCTACAGCAAATAGATGAGAGAACTCTGAACCAGATCTTCTAACTTCTAGTCTCATGTTTTCTCCAGTTTACCTGCTGTTTCAAATAGCTGTTGCTCCATTTTTACAGAAATGTATTTATCTAGTCATTTGTGGTTGTGACTTCCATAGGCCTAAAAATCTCTCTGATTTCTTTCTCTTGAACTGAGTTTGCATCAAGATGATGCTGAATACAGGTGAGGTATAACTCCTTAAGAGATGAGGGTGAGAATTCTGATGGTGATCTTAATTTAATTCAGTCTTTGCCTGGAATTCTGAAAGCAGCCCCCAAGTAATAGTAATAGTAACCGTGACAATAATAATAACTGCATTAATCTCGACCAGGCACTGCGCTAAGCACCTTACCCGGATGATCCTGTTTAATCCTCTCAAGAACCCTATGAGCTAGGATCTCTTGTCATTCACATTTATGGATAAGGAAATGGAAGCACAGAGACGTCAAGTAATTGTACAGGGTCACACAACCAACATAATAAACAGCGGGGCCAGGATTTGAAGTCAGGTCTCCAGAGCCCCCACCTTAAAGACCCCACACGTAAATAAGAGTGTGTGGCTAGAAGTGAGTGTTCTGTTCCACCCTAACCAGCCACACCTGGGTCTCCTGTCTCCCCCATCCCAGTGGCTGCCGGAAAGTGCAAGGTATGACGTGCTGTCAGGGAACCAGGAAAAGGCAATTGCCACCTTAAAGAGGATAGCGACGGAAAACGGAGCTCCCATGCCGCTGGGGAAACTCATCATCTCCAGACAGGTCAGTGCCTGGACCAATGGACTCTGCAACGTGCGTATCAGTGTGCATGCAGGGGAGCGTGTGCACATAGAGTGGGGCATGCAAGTGTGGATACACGTGGGTGTGTGTGTGTGTGCACATGGAACAGATGAGGGCCCAGTAGACAGGACCTGCAAGGGTAATTTGGCTACTTCAATATGTATCGTCACTGCCAAATTCTAAAAATGCTACCTGGAGAATTTCGCCAGTGACTAGAGAAATGTAACGTCTGCTAATGGGTCCTGTACTACTCCTGCTTCGGTTTCGCCTTTCAGCACAGATGAAGTCTGACTAGCAAATGAGATCGATTGGGAAAAGCTGTGCAGTAAAACCACATTAGGAAGGAATGTGCTTAGATCGAGGGGATCAAACCGCACCTGATGTAGATGTTCTTAATGGACGGTGCCTCACTCCACCAGTAACACCATCAAGAAATCCACCACGGTGAAACTTAATGAGCACTTACTGTATGTAGGCACTAGCATTGCACACGTTAAGAGAAAAGATTCGGATTTAAGGCTGCAGTTCCTGCCCTCAAGAGCCATCCAAGCGGATTGGAGAAACGTAACAAGTACTCTTAAGCAGATATCAGATCCTATAAAGAAGCTACCTTTTAAAATAAAGTTCTATTTCGGATTGTTTTTATATTATGCAAGAAGAATTAAATGGTATTCCAGCAGGTTGGAAGGAGGTATTTGGTCTGACAACACAGAGGCCAGGGGACCTGCCTCAAATCTCCAGGAGCAGAGCCGGAGGGATTCTGCAAGATGTGCAGAAGCCCATATGGTTGCCTTTGGGGAGAGACCCCTCCCATGGATGAAGGAAAGCCAGGCTGGTCTTGAACTCCTGGCTTCAAGTGATCCACCTGCCCTGGCCTCCCAAAGTGCTGGGATTGCAGGTATCAACCACCGCACCTGGCCATAGCATATATTTTTTTAAAGAACTTTGTAAAGCAAAGATTTTTAAAATTTGTAAATTATGTAAAATTGGCCAATAGGTCATTTAGCTCATCTATCTTTTGGTAAATTGACGTTTGGTGAATTAGTTTCTCAGAACATTCATTGTTGCCACCTTGACCTAGAACTGGGGAAGGCGCCTGTGTATGTGTGAAATGGCTGGACATGCTTTGAACTGGTTTTCTGCTCCCTGGGTCCATGAGTCTGTGCTGAGGTCTGAGGGGCCAGGACAGAGGGATCTGCTTCCCAACTCCAGGTTTCCAGGTTGGAGGGCATGAGATCCATCCTAATCATGCCTCTGGACATGGCTGGGTTCTGGCTGGAGGGGTTGGGAGGCTCCGTCCTGTAGATTTGAGTTCTGGGTTCTCAGAGCTCCAGTGTCCTACCTACCAGAAACCTCCCTCCCACCCGTGTGTGCACTAGTCTCAGGCCACCAGCAGGTCTCCCATGCATTTGTAGGGGAGAGAATAAACACCATGTCTTTGTTTTGAAACAGGAAGACCGAGGCAAAATGAGGGACCTTTTCACGCCCCATTTTAGATGGACAACTTTGTTGCTGTGGTTTATATGGTAAGAGCTGTTCGTTGACCACTTTGACCCCCTTCCACTCCCTGTGTCCTGTTTTGGGTTTTGTTTTAATGCAATGCACAAAGAACACTTTGATTTACAGCAGCATTTGCAAATTTCAGTAGTTTGAACATCATCCTCCTGATTTCTGCCATATCCAGGTCATCATCTGTGTGTACTATTATGTCCTTAATCTTTTTCTTTAACTTGACTGCTTTTGCTCAAGCATCTTTTAAAAGGCAACTTTATAACTCTATTTTATTGTGTTATTTTTTTTTTTTATTTTTTATTTTTGAGACAGAGTCGCCTCCCTCCACTGCTCAGGCTGGAGTGCAGTGGCACTATCCTAGCTTACTGCAGCCTTGAACTCCTGAACTCAAGCAATCTCCCTCCTCAGCCTCCCTAAATTCTGGGATTACAGGTATAAGCCTCTGAACCAGGCCTATAACTCTACTTTAAAGGAAATCACTTTAATTGCAGGTCATAGATAGAAAGCACTCTTAAAGAGAAATACCAGAAAAAGTCACCAAATGGATGGTTTGCAGAGGCAATGAGCCTCTGTATGTAAGAGATAAAAAGGCTGGCTGGACGTGGTGGCTCATGCCCATAATCCCAACGCTTTGGCAAGGCTGAGGTGGGACGATCTCCTGAAGCCAGGAGTTCGAGAACAGCCTGGGCAACACGGTAAAACCCTGTCTCTACACAAAATGTTTAAGTTACCCAGGTGTAGAGGCATGCACCTGTGGTCCCAGCTACTCAGGAGGCTCAGGTGAGAGGATCACTGGAGCCCAGGAAGTCGAGGCTGCAGTGAGCTGCGATCATGCCACTGTATTCCAGCCTAGGCAACAGAATGAGACCCTGTTTCAAAACAAAAACAAAAAAGAAATGGGAGAGGGGAGGTGTTAAGGACTCCGTAGCATGTAAGTGACACTGGGATATAATTTAAAAGGATTGAAAGTAAACTTAAAAGGGAATTTGTCTTTCATAATATGATTGAATATTTCTGCTATGTGGCCTTGTGTGGTGGCTTACACCTATAATCTTTGGGAGGCTGAGGCAGGTGGATCACCTGAGGTCAGGAGTTTGAGACCAGTCTGGCCAACATGGTATAACCCCACCTCTACTAAAATATAAAAATTAGCTGGGCGCTGTGGCGGGCACCTGTAGTGGTGAGAACCTCTTGAACCCTGTGAGGTGGAAGCTGCAGTGAGCCAAGATTGCACCACTGCACTCCAGCCTGAGTGACAGAGTGAGACTCTGTCTCAAAAATATATGTGTGTGTGTGTGTGCGTGTGCGTGCACGCAGGTGTGTGTGTATTTATTTATTCATTTATTTATACTATGTCAGTGTCCTCCGTGAGCCCATATTGCCCCTTGGGCACCACAGGGGTGGCATGTGGCACATATTTTGGGAACCACTGATTTGGTCAACGTGGGCATTCTTTTAAGTTCCAGTTCTGATCCTGTTGGACCTTTTCTTAAATAACAGCCATGGAAGGGAGCTGGAGACAGAAGGTGCAGGCTTGGGGGTGGCATTTGGAGAGTGTGATCACCCTAAACTCCACAATTAATTGGAATTGCAGTCATCTTTCAACTCTGTTTGTACCAATTCATGTACACAGCATTAACAGTGAACAAAAGGCCGGGCGCGGTGGCTCAAGCCTGTAATCCTAGTACTTTGGGAGGCCGAGGCGGGTGGATCACGAGGTCAAGAGATCGAGACCATCCTGGTCAACATGGTGAAACCCCGTCTCTACTAAAAATACAAAAAATTAGCTGGGCATAGTGGCTTGTGCCTGTAATCCCAGCTACTCAGGAGGCTGAGGCAGGAGAATTGCCTGACCCCAGGAGGCGGAGGTTGCGGTGAGCCGAGATCGCGCCATTGCACTCCAGCCTGGGTAACAAGGGCGAAACTCCGTCTCAAAAAAAAAAAAAAAAAAAAAAACAGTGAACAAAATTGGCCTAGCTTAAGGTATTGTGTTCTTTTTTAACCAGTTCTCATTTTTCCATTCACTGTTTAGCAGAGGTGCTAATTAACAGGGAAGTGACCCCAAGGTGGTCACTTACAGGAAAGAGGAGAAACAGCTTTGGTAATATACAGAACCGGGGGGTCCGTGTTGAGAATACCAACCTTCGAGCACATGTAATTTGGTTGGGCCAACGCTCCTTGAATACTGAAGCAATTAATTAGAGACTCATTTTAGTGCATTTTGGAAGTCACTAAATTTGCTTGCACACGTTGTAACCTAAGGAAATCAATCACTGGCTTTTGATTATGACTGCGTTTCCATATAACTATTCTACTGGATGAGAATGTTCTGGTCCTGCAAGCTTGAGTATTCTAGTTCCTGGATCAGCTAGGAAGTAATAAACAGTGTTATTCTGCTCTGAAATTTGAAAATCACATGTCTAAGTTGACATACTTGACCCAGAAGCTCTAAAAGATGTTAATGGGACTGTTTTCTTCCAGAGGTTGGTCCCTAAAACCATTTTTCCCCTGTTGCCAGTGGGGTAGACAGCCTTGGAGGTACTGTGTCTCTGGGATAGTATAGTTCTATTACTAGAAAGCTGTCCCGATTCAGACCCCAAGAAAGGGTTCTTGGATTTTGTGCAAGAAGGAATTCAAGACCAGTCCACAGAGTAATGTGAAAGCAAATTCATTAAGAAAGTAAAGGAATAAAAGAGTGGCTACTCCATAGGCAGAGCAGCCCCGAGAGCTCCTGGTTGCCCATTTTTATTGTTATTTCTTGATGATACGCTAAATAAGAGGTGGATTATTCATGCGTCCTCTTTTTAGAACATATGGGGAATGCCTGGCATTGCCATCGCATTTGTAAACTGTCAAGGCGCTGGTGGAAGTGTAGCAGTGAAGACGACCAGAGGTCACTCTCATCACCATCTTGGTTTTGCTGGGTTTATAGCTTGTTTCTTTTTGTTTTGTTTGAGATGGAGTTTCACTCTTGTTGCCCAAGTCAGAGTGCAATGGCGAGATCTCAGCTCACTGCAACCTCTACCTCCAGGTCCAAGCAAGTCTCTTGCCTCAGCCTCCCGGGTAGATGGAATTATAGGCATCTACCACCACACCTGGCTAATTTTTGTATTTTGAGTAGAGACAGGGTTTCACCATGTTGGCCAGGCTGGTCTCGAACTCCTGACCTCAGATGATCCACCCACTTTGGCCTCCCAAAGTGCCGGGATTATAGTCAGGAGCCACTGTGCCCAGCCTATAGCTGGCTTCTTTACTGCAACCTGCTTTATCAGCAAGGTCTTTATGATCTGTATCTTGGCTGACCTCCTATCTTATCCTGTGACAGAATGCCTAACCCTCTGGGAATGCGGCCCAGTAGGTCTCAGTCTTCATGTACCCAGCCCCTATTCAAGATGGAGTTGCTCTGGTTGAAACACCTCTGACAGTTCTTGGTCTTTCAAAGGACACAGGAGCACTTCCCTTTGATCATATCATGATGCTTTTTTACCTTCCATCTTCTTGCCCAAGGTCCCTAGTAAAGCCCCAAAGCCCCAGTGCAGCCCAAAGACTGGTCCCTGCCGCTGTGGACACTGGCCCTTCCCAGTGGGGCAGGGAAAGGGGACTTGCCTTCCTCTGATCATTTCTTTACCTTTCTTGCTTTCTCCTGGCAGGTTTTCCAACGCATTCTCTTACTACGGGTTAGTTCTACTCACCACAGAACTCTTCCAGGCGGGAGATGTCTGCAGCAGTGAGTATCTTGGTTGTCTCTGCCAGCAAACTACTCCCATACCCTCAGTACATACACAGCCATGCACACACTCCCACCCCAGGCTCTGCCCTTAAGGGACTGGGCCTTGTACTACTTACTACTTCTGTGGTTTCCAAGACACTCTGTAGAAACCTGGACAGTCTTGTCGCGATGGAGCTAACCTTAGTGGGGCCGTATCTTACGTCAGGGTTTGGGCTCTGAAGTTCGCACTGTTCAAAGATAAACCAAGGCGCATTAAAGAAAAACAGACGCAAATTTGAAAAGTGTATCTGAGCAGAGAGTGATTCATGAATCGGTAGAAAAGAGCTGAAGAAAACAGAAACAGGGAACACAAAGCAGATGGGTTGTTTCAAAGTGACTTACCTTATAGGATTAAAATAGAGCAGATTTTCTTGGCATGCCAAGTCAGGTAAACAAGATCCCTTCGCATGGGTTGCTGTGACTCTTCCTTTTAAAATTTATTATTTTATTTGTTATTTTTGATGGAGTCTCACTCTGTTACCCAGGCTGGAGTGCAGTGGTGGGCTCTCAGCTCACTGCAGCCTCCACCTCCTGGGTTCAAGCAATCTTCCTGCCTCAGCCTCCCAAGAAGGTGGGATTACAGGTGGCGCTACCACACCTGGCTAATTTTTGTATTTTTAGTAGTGACGGGGTTTCACCACATTGGCCAGGCTGACCTCAATCTCCTGACCTCAGGTGATCTGCCTGGCTTGGTTTTCAAAGTGCTGGGATTACAGGTGTGAGCCACAGTGCCTGGCCTATTATTATTATTGTTTTTTTTTTGAGAGAGGGTCTCATTCTGTCACCCACACTGGAGTGCAGTGGCACAATCATGGCTCACTGCAGCCTCCACCTCCTGGGCTCAAGAAATCCTCCCACCTCAGCCCCCCAAGTAGTTGGGACTACAGGCGCAAAAAGAAACACCATGTTAGTTAAAGTTATTTATTTGTTTATTCATAGAAAAGAGGCTGAAAGTTTGCAGGCCAGGTGGCTCATGCCTGTTTAATTCCAGCACTTTAGGAGGCTGAGGCGGGTGGACCACATGAGGCCAGGAGTTTGAGACAAGCCTGGTCAACATAACAAAACCCCATCTACACTAAAAATACAATAATTAGCTGGGCATGGTGGCGCATACCTACAATCCCAGCTGCTTGGGAGGCTGAGGCAGGAGAATCGCTTGAACTTGGAAGGTGGAGGTTGCAGTGAGTAGAGATTGTATCACTACACTCCAGCCTGGGCGACAGGATGAGATTCTATCGCAAAAAAAAAAAAAAAAAAAAAAAAAAATATATATATATATTTGGGGGTAAAATATTTTGATTTCCTTCAGGGTCTGCTATCTGCCGAGTGATGCTCTACTAGAGTCAAGTTGGAGTTTGGTATCTGATTGCCTGGAAGAGTCTGTTTTGTCGGTCTTATGATCTTTGTTTTAATGTTACTGCTGGCAGTTGCCTAAACTCCGAAAGGGAGGGGGTAGAAGAAGGAGGTGTGTCTGAGTCCCCTTCCCATGATGGCCAGAGTTCAGTTTTTCAGGTTTCTCTGGGGTCCCCTTGGCCAAGAAGGGATCTGTTCAGTAGACTGGGAGCTTAGGATTTCATTTTTGGTTTGCAGTTAAGTTACTCTGAGCTGATTTCAGATGGCTCACCTAGGACCCCACAACACTGGAGCCGTCTGACTATAGGCCTCTCAGTTAATTTTTTCTAATAGCATTTCTTTTTTTTTTTTTTTTTTTCTGAGACAGGTTTTTGCTCTGTTACCCAGGCTAGAGAACAGTGGTGTGATCATAGCTCACTGCAGCCTGACCTCCCATGTCTAAGAGCTTTTTAAGGTGAATATTCAATATAGGTTAAAATTATGGAGTGAGACTCCCAGCACTTTGGGAGGCAGAGGCAAGAGGATCACTTGAGACCAGAAGTTCAAGAACAGCCTGGACAACATGGCAAGACCCTGTCTCTACAAAAAATTTAAAAAATTATCTGGGCATGGCAGTGTGTGCCTGTAGTCCTAGCTACTAGTTGGGAGGCTGAGGCAGAAGGATTTCCTAAGCCCAGGAGTTCCAAGCTGCAGTGAGCCATGATTACACCTCAGCAATCCAGCCTGGGCGACAGAGTAAGACTCTGTAAAAAAATAAAAATAGGCTGGGTGCGGTGACTCACACCTGTAATCCCAGCACTTTGGGAGACAGAGGTGGACGGATCACGAGGTCAAGAGATTGAGACCATGCAGGTCAACATGGTGAAACCCTCTCTCTACTAAAAATACAAAAATTAGCTGGGTGTGGTGGCAGATGCCTATAGTCCCAGTTACTCGAAGCTGAGGCCGGAGGATCACTTGAACCCAGAAGGTGGAGGTTGCAGTGAGCCGAGATCATGCCACTGCACACAGCCTGAGTGACAGAGCAAGTCTCCATCTCAAAATAAATAAATAAATAAATGAAATGATCATCACAAATCCTCTAAAGAGCCCTCACAAAGCATAGTACTCAGAGCTTTATGGATATGATCCTGTGCAGTAATTCTCATGTGCACATTAAGTCTGAGGACCAAGTTGGCTCTCCACCATGGCTACATAACAGAATCACCCGGGAAGCTTTTAAACAATGCCCAGACCCATTTAATCAGGACTTGTGAGGGCAGGTGAAACCCAAGCATTAGCAAGGTTTTTTTTTTTTTTTTTTTTTTTTTTGAGACGGAGTTTCGCTCTTGTTACCCAGGCTGGAGTGCAATGGCCTGATCTCGGCTCACCGCAACCTCCGCCTCCCGGGTTCAGGCAATTCTCCTGCCTCAGCCTCCTAAGTAGCTGGGATTACAGGCACGTGCCACCACGCCCAGCTAGTTTTTTTTTTGTATTTTTAGTAGAGACGGGGTTTCACATGTTGACCAGGATGGTCTCGATCTCTCGACCTCGTGATCCACCCGCCTCGGCCTCCCAAAGTGCTGGGATTATAGGCTTGAGCCACCGCGCCCGGCCGCATTAGCAAGTTTTAAAAGCTCCCCAGATGATTCTCTTGTGCAGCTGGAGGTGGGAACCACGGGACAAAAGAAAAGCTAATGCAAAGGAAAGTCTCTGTGCTTTTTTATGCCTGTGCTTTTAAGCCATTCTGACTTTTAAGATACAAGTAAATTCTCAGCATTGAACTCAGAGTTGGAGGATAAAAGAATCAAGTTCCTGCTTGTGTTCGGGGTTCGCCCAATTATCTTTTTCATATTAAGGCTCTATAATCATAGTTAACAGTTTTGTTTATTGGTATAAGGATTGAATGAGGTAGTGGAGTCCCATCTCACTGCAGGGATGTGGGGGAGTCTGTGTTCAATGTTCTGCTGATGGAAATCTATTGTAGAGTCAGTCACAGGGTTTGGTATTGACTGAGTATAGACTGCATCTCCTAAGAGCAGAATGCTTAAGCTAAGCATCCTAAGCTTAAACTAATAAGTATACTGGGGAATGTGGTAAAACAGGGGTTAGCAACCTTTTTCTGTAAAAGATCAGGTAGTACATATTTTAGGCTTTGTAGGCCAGTTGTTTGTAGCAGGACAATGGTGGACGGTATGTTGTTAAATTAGGTCCAGCCTAAAGTTGCCCCCTTACATATTTTAAGTTCAGCCTAAAGTTTTCTTCATACATAGTGAACTGAAATCTACTGGATGTGTGAACAGACTGTAACCTACTCTTGCGCCAGTCACTGATTTCAGCCACTCAAAAGCAGTCAACTGGCCGGGCATGGTGGCTCACACCTGTAATTCCAGCACTTTGGGAGACAAGGTGGGAGGATCACTTGAGGTCAGGAGTTCAAGACCAGCCTGACCAACATGGCGAAACCCCGTCTCTACTAAAAATAGAAAAATTAGCCAGGTGTGGTGGCTCATGCCTGTAGTCCCAGCTACTCAGGAGGCTAAGCCAGGAAGATTGGTTGAACTGGAGGAGGCAGAGGCTGCAGCGAGCCGAGATGGCGCCACTACCTGGCATGTAGCTCTGTTGCCAGTCTGGGCAACAGAGTAAGACTCTGTCTCAAAAAACAAAAAAAAGATAAACAGTCAACTGTTCAAATCCTATTCAAATAAGGCAAACACTGAGCTGTAACCTGTCCGGCTGTTTCTATACCTCGCTTCCGTGTTCTGTCACTTTCCTGCTTCTGTCCGTCAATCCTTGATCACTTGCAGCACCAGTCTGTCTGAACTTATTCTGGCTTATGGGCTGCCTGATTTACACTGTAGTCTTGTTCAATTAAACTCTGTTACATTGAATTTGTCCAAGGTTTTCCTTTTAACAATATAAATGAATGAGCGTTGCTTGTGTTTCAATACAACCTTATTTATTAATGCAAATTTGAATTTTGTATCGTTTTTATGCCTCATGACTTCTTCTTTTAATTTCTAAAAATCATCTGAAAAAAAAATATTTTTAGCACATAGGTCAGGCAAAAACAGGCAAGGGACCAGATTTGGCCAGAGTTTATCAACCCGTGTTGAAAAGCTCTGTCTTATACCTGGGTGGGAAAGTAAAACTATAGAACAAGCCCACCGCTGGAAATTAGGAGACATGGGTTCCAGCACCAAGTACCTGTGTGACTTCGGGCAAGTCATTTATTTAATATGTATTTTCTACATGCCAGGTACTGGTCTATGTATCGGTGTCCAGGAAAGCCAGAGCTGGACAGAAGTAAAAGCAGTGAAGGAAAATTTCATTTAGTAGCAATTGCAATAGGAAAAGAGAAACCTCAGTATAGAACTGGGTTCCTTTCTATATGCGCAAGTATTCAAAGTGGGGATTTACAGCCAGGGAGCAGGGTGGGGGAGTCAGCGGATGGAAAATTACTAAGAGGAAATGCCAAGGATAAGATGATTTCTGGTTAAACTGACTTGATAAAATTATTGCTGGGCCAGGCTCACACCTGTAATCCCAGCATTTTGGGAGGCAAAAGTGGATGGATTGCTTATATTCAGAGGCTCAAGACCAGCCTGAGCAACATAGTGAGACCC